ATAATATAAGTCAGAGGAATAAATAATAATTAATTAATTAATTAATCATGACAAAGTTTATGTATTATACTACTTTTGTAAAATAATCTACTATTCATATAAATAAATAATTAAGGGGTTTCCATGATTTCACTGTCTACAACGCTAAATTATTCACATCCTTCCTCCTCCTCATTAATTATGAGTAATATTAATAATATTTGAAAAAAATCTGCAAAACTGCTAGTTTTAACAATTCTTCCTTTAACAAGCGGCGAAATGCAATCTTCTCTGTCTACCTAAATAACCAGCTAGTAGAATTGTATGTTGATATATATATATATATATGTAAATTAAGATGATATTTTAAGTAAATGAAAAATCCCCATATTGAAATCAAAACAAGATTTTGAGCGAACAATTGTTTTCGATAACTTCTTCTTCTTCAGGCTCTACAGTTATAAATCCATGAATAATAGAGTACGTATAGCCAATAAAGACCAATGAAAATAATAATATCAAAAACTGTATTGGGGTGCATGTTTAAGTTGAGATGATAGTCCATTAGTTAACACAGTCAATTAAATGTGTATAGGGTGTATAGTCAGAATAATGTGATGAAGTGTGAATGAACAATTGGGTGATATAGTGTTATTTTATAGTCAACAGAATACAAGTGTAATTTGGGTGAGAGAAATGGGATAACTACAAAATACATACAAACACATTAACAAAGGGGACGCTGAATGTGAGGGTTGACTGATAATGTCTAATGATAAAATAAAGAGGCTAAATTGTAATAAGATGTTACAGAATTGGTAGGCTCAGTATAAAATCATAAAGGTTGACAAAAAGTAGGGGTAATAATGAGGTGAAATAAACTGGGTGGAGAAATAGATAATAAAGACATGATATCACAAAATAATAATGATAATAATAGTACGAAAATTTATGATCCTGGTGACCTTATTGTGGGCCAAGGTAGACAAAGGGAGTGAATAAGTCTGGTCTGTCTCTATTAATCTCTAAAGCCTCAGCTATGGCTAGGAGGCGTAATCGTGTGCCTTTGGGGAGATTGTTTTAAGGACAAACCTCAGGGATCATAAGCTCTCTTGACAGTGATTGTTAATCGTGACAGATAGACAGATAGTATACAATTGGTGGATGGTGGCTAGCAGTGGAATCCAGGATGCGCATTTCGTCCTATTTGGGACTCGTCAGCTGGATGTACCTGCATTTCTCAGTGAGTGATGATGTTCCCACCGAGGCTCGAACCCAGTACCCATAGTTTCAAATGCCAAAGTGTTATCCACTAGACCACTTGGGCCACGAGAGCCACCTCTTGTGCAACGGCTACTGGGTTCGAGCCTCGGTGGGAACATCATCACTCACTGAGAAATGCAGGTACATCCAGCTGACGAGTCCTAAATAGGACGAAATGCGCATCCTGGATTCCACTGCTAGCCACCATCCACTAATTGTATACTAATTAAATACCCAGACATCGTCGTAGCATCTGCACAAGAAGCCGACATGTCAACCTGAGACCGAGCACTTCGGTCCAATCAATCGACGGGAAAATCAAAAATTCAATTCAGATAGATAGATAGTTTGACAGACAGCTAATCGATATTACGTGACCCTTTTGTCGCGACTATTGGCTAATTTAATGTAACTCTCACCACGTGATGTGACCTTGAGTGTTCTTTATTTCCTGTCACTCTATTGTGTGTATATGTAATTAATTAACTGTTCATTTTGTCCATTCCTTTAAGACTGTTCGGTACGTTTTTGTCTTTTCTTCAGTGACAATGGATTTTGTGCTTTTTTGGTGTAATTGTATGCTTTATTTTATGTTTTAGAAACAGATACAGTTTAAGTCAAGTCACTCTGTTTTTTAACTATTGTTAAGCCAAGACTCTGTATCGACAGTACCGAGGAAGGACTAAATCTGTAGGCGAAACTAATCCTACAGTGATCACAAGACTTCCACTTGATGAAGATACCGACAAATAAATGCAGTGATGTGGATGTGTGATTGATTCATGCCACCAGCTTCCAACGATTAATGACTCCATCGTTTGAAGATCACACTCCACCTAATTCAACTTGGTCATCTGGGTTGTATGTTAAAGTAAGACTTTGTACCGTACTAAGTGGCGCAGACCTGCATTCACTCTCTATAATGTGCCATATCCATTAGAAACCTGTTGTTTTTCCACGTCACCATTATTTCTCTCCAAAATGTCCGCTTACTATGGCTTTTTCGAGTCCACTTTTTCTTTTTTTCTTTTGTGTGCTAACATGAAGTGTGTGCAAAGTTCTATTATGTTGAAACCAGTCTAGTCAGTCAGTCTTTGGTATTCTTTTGCATTGAACATTTGTTCCAGGCAGCCAAGTTTTAATCAAATAAACTAGTGATACATTGTTTACTAATTGTTGGTTAATTTTATGAAAAAGTAGAGGCCGTAAAGACTCTGTCAACAATCTTCTTCTACTTCCTCCCAATCATTAATAACATCAAAATGTGGCTAGGCAATCTGATCTATGAACATCAATGGAGGACTAAAACGCACGAACAAATGACATACTTCCCGATGATTTGCAAGACTCAATAGTCTAGAGAATAACCCCTTTAAATGTTTAGGGAAGAAAATTCTTTTCGCAGTTCAAAAATCATCATCAGTCCAGTCACAGTTGATGAGTTGGAAATAAAATGAGATACTCATTTGCAATTAGCTGTGTTCTCTGAGATGGTTGATTTAGTTGCGGAGCTTTCGTCGTCCTTCTAGACAACATCCTCAGCGCAAGTTCTAGGATAAAATAAACTCATTTGAGTCCTTCATTAGTGATAGAATTGCGTCTCCCGGTAACCATCTTTACATATGTATTGACCATTTTCTATTGACTCGGATTTTAAACTTTCTGGTCACATGATTTACTTTTTATTAGTTGGTATACTTGGTCTATATTGACGTGTTTGTTAATCGCTGATTCGCTTGAGTACCAAACCAAGCTTCTAGGAATTCTCTGGCACTTTTGGTGTTTCCTCTATTTACAATTTCGACATTAGTGTCCACAATTATGTACAAGCATTGATTTGAAAGAATATATATCATGTCTTTAAACAGCTGATTTGTGTTCCTGGATTCTGATTCGAAGGCGACACCACCCACTTTGGCCGATGTAATGTCTGTTACAGTTCATGTATGCAATTTATTTTGTAAATGGTATTAATTCAATCTCCTTTTTATGTTGGATCTTTTGATTTCCACAATATCAAAATGAAATGAAGCTTCGCAGTTAAACCAACGAGCTCAGAGAACACAACTAATTACAAATCATCCACCTTAGTTACAAATCCTCTAGTCACTACCAAAAACTAATACTTTTCTTGAAATCATAACATCTTAACCAATACATACCGAATATTTCATATATTGTACGTTCTAATACTAATGAGTTCTTATAACCGAACACCTAAGAGAAAGTGCTGTTATTCTGTCTGCTCTATCCGACATCAATAAGACTACTACTACTCTGACCAAGCCTGCAGTATGAAGACGACTAGGCTGAATTATCATATAAAAACTATGGATGCAGTGAACTTCATGTTACACAAACGAAATTAATCACCATTGAAGCCTTTTAATAAGTCTTGATTTAATTCTTGTCAGGATAACTAATTCTCGTCTCAACGTAGAACACTTTCGCATAGAGGTTCAAAAGTTCGAATAGCCATACTCCATATAGCCCATAGAATTAGGGAAAACGAAAAATTCCAGAAGAACATAAATGTATAGGGAAAACAATAAGCATAACATAGAAAAACACGAGGAGGCAACGGACATGTGAGACTACAAAGACTGAATTCAAATGAACCACTCAGAATAGTTTTCAGATATATCATCAACGGTCTCAAGATATCGATCCTTAGCATCTCAAGGACTACATATTGTTAGGATTCTTCAACATGGAATACTGTCTTCAGTAAACAAGAAGTTGTGTTTTCATCGAAGACTCAGGCCTGCGCCTAGGCTCCTAACTGAAGTTAATTTATAGATAATATAAGCTAGTAAAGAGATAAATTACAAAGATATATGCATAGTCATATAGTCAAATATTGATCTTTCCTGAGGATAATCAGCAAATCACCAGGCTTCAGCCCCAGTAGTTAGAAAAAAATGACGAGGGTGCAAAATACATCCTGACCTCATCCTTAATTTCTGTTTGTATCTCTGTATAGCCAAATTATATAAACCTTATCTTCAACGCACCATTTGCACAGGTCTTCATGTTGTGTTTCTTGGTGTTCCTTTCACGTCTCCCATGCATCTCCCCGTAACGCTGTATCATTTGCCCCCTCTGAAATCAAATGTATCTTTCTACTCTTGCTGTTTTTATGCCGATGAACGTCTCTTCACATACTACTGATAAATCCAATCAGTAGCACTCGCCACAATAGCACATTAGGGTTAGGGGTTATGATAAGAATTAAGTTCGGGTTGGGATTGGGAATAAGTCATTGATTGTTGTCTTTAATTACTGTTATCTGTATTTGTCTTGTAAATAAATAAATGCGATTGGTGGGGGGATATTGGTAATATAGAGGAAATGGTGTTGATAAATACGAAACTTAAAAACCGATGGTTCTCATTGTAATCAGGAATTATTTTCGAGTTATATCAGAGTAAAATATCGTCTTTAATGTGCTTCATCACTATTAATTTCTATTTCCCTCGTAAATAAGCAGGTTTTTCATGCAAAAAATCACGGCTTCAACTCATTGGTCATCCCAAGGCTTCTTGTGCGTTCGCACTCTGTGCTCGCTATTCTTTAGGTTTGTCACTATACATACTCCATAATGCAATAAACCTAGTGAATTAATTATTTTTAGACAACAAGTGATTCTAGACGATAACAATAATGGTAATAATAGTTCATATTATCCCAACCAATAAAACTCTAAGTACTCCATAAGTAATATAATAAGTATATCGTTTAAAAACTATTTCGCTTACTTTAATGGAATCATAACAACAGATAACACGACCACTTTGTACATCGACATGCGTAGGTGGATGAGCGAATTTACATTCATTTTCATCTCTTGAACACTGATTCCTTTGATACTGTCGACAGACTTCCAATGTTAACCATCTAGAATCTTTAATATTCGACGGTAGACCAGCAGAAGCAGCAGCAGCTGCAGTCAACGCGGCGACAGCAGCTGCGGCCGCCGCGGCAGTAGCTGTAGTCGATGGATACATTCCATTACTGTTTGTAAATTGACTAGAATTCTCATTTGGACTTAGTGAATTTGTTAGACAGGAGGATGGATTAGCCGGTGGGAATGGTGTAAAATGTGGGTAGACGACAGTAGCCGTAGCAGCAGCAGCTGGATCACTTAGACCAACACTATGAAGCATGATAGAAAATATGTATTCCAGAAAGAGAGGGAGATGCAGAGAATTGTATACACACACACACAGCCAAATTTACAAATTACTCAATGGCGCACGTGAGTAATTCCAATGAATATAAGTAATCGACCGATTGGTTAACTGATGGAGTTGCAACTTCTTTATCTGTAAAATCAAAACAAAGAAAAACACATTTAAGCTTTAATTTTTTTACATAAAATCTAAATTTCACAAATGTAAACATTTGCGGCATGATCCATACTACTGAATAGTATAAGTAGGTGAAAATCATTCACGCAAAACAGTAGAGTTTGCCTATTATATGTCAAAGTTAGTTACTTGAACACATGAGAGTCAGTGGTGGTAAGATTTCACATGTTACTGCATACTCTGTAAGCAGCTGACTGTTTTATATATGAACTTTTTTAATTTGCACAAGTGGCTAAGCAAAGCTGATGCACCACCACTATGAACTGAGTGAGTCAGCATACGCACCACTGCTGATGTACTCAAACGAGCGAAACAATTATATATTTCGTGTTTGGCTAGTATTTGTCCGACTGGAAAACACTATTATTAATTGGCCGGATTAGTCTGTAACTATTTATCTGAATGCCTAATATGTATCATATAAAAGAGATGTTCAGCGTCGGTGGCACAGTGTTTAGGACTCTCCCCGACCATACACATGGTCGCTAAGCTAGAAATAATGCTAGTAAAGAGGAGAGGTTGGGCATGAGGCTAGCAACCCCATCCTGTAAAATAAACACTTCTACAGAAACTTCAAGCCACTAGCTTGAAGCCCTATGTTCCACTGGGAACGTGAAGGAAGAAAAACAGAGAAGACGTTCAACGAAGAGTTAATTTTTTTCGGCGATACCATTCACAAGCCGTACACATTCGCAAGTTAATTTTCTAGCAACAAAATGAACATTTGAAAGATTTGTCATTAGAATTGTGGAATTTAGACACCAAATTACGTAATGTCGAGAGCGTTAATTGGTTAGAAACTAAAATAAGATTAAATAAGCAAGTTGAGGGACTTGAGGGACGTGACCTAACTGACGGGGTTGAGTAAAGCTCAGCTATAATTAAAATTGAACAAATGTCTAGTTAATTACAGTGGTAATAAGGGGTGGGGGAAGAAAATACCATTCTATTAAGAAACAAGCAAGCAAGAAAAAGACGAAACAAAATTACGTATTTGGTGTTGACATAGGTCAGGTCCACGTTAGATTTAATGACTGAAAAAACTTTTTTTGTATGCAGAGTTCATGTCTTAATATGTGAACACTGCCATTGCTTCTGCAGTTTGAAGAAGTTTGATTAGCACTGTTTTAGCCAGATTCCCATGCACTTTCTAGATGACTTTGAAGTTACTTTGCGGGTTTGCTTGATGCTCCCATTCGATCAAGTTTTCCAGAATAGAGCTTCGAGGGGAACTTTTTTCCTCTTTTTGAAACCATGAGACGTAAGTGTTCGATGATAGGTTTGGATGACAAACGCTGGCTACGGTTGACACATCTAGCTCCACACGAGCAGGTGAATTGGTAGATGCACATTGATGAGACCAACAGTGGTAGCTTATGCTTCATGTTCATGCGAATCATTGGTTTCGTGGAGAAAGTAAGTCGGGGTTCAGCCGCGAAGAAGGTTTTATTCAGTGAGTGGGACAGGCGGTTTCTCAGTATTTCTGAATCCCTGTTGAATTATAGGTTTAGGTAAAGAGATGTTTTGAGAGCAGAGAGTATGAGTGGTTTTGGCGGTTTGGGTTTCATAGATTTAGCGATAGTCATGTTCTAGGAATATGTATCCTATCACAAAACTTAGTCACTGTCTTATATTATTTAGCCCACCAAATAGGTCAAATAATATGATCTGAATATTTTGCGTTTCCTGAAATTTTACCTCTACCTGTGCACTTTAAAAAATTAGCTATCCACACCCATTTATAAGCACTATTTCCAAAATAATTATATACAAAAGAGTATAAATTATTCGGCTAAATAAGAGTAATTATTGATTTTTGCTGTCGGACATTTCAGTATCATTCGCTGTTCAAAGTAATCAAATGGAAAATTAATGAAAAACCCAACTTAGTGACTGAATTTTAGTATCCACATTTAAATGGTCAATAGTGTGGCGCTGATACCAGTTACTGTCACAGTCTACCCTGAAAATAATTAAATTCTCTTAAGTAGTAAAATGTAAATTCTGTTCACTCTGAAGTAGGAGAGGAGAAGGATACAAATACACCGAAATATTTCTTTTAAAGTCGACCACTTCAAAAGTAAACTTTAATATCACATTAATTTGTTAATTAGATATATCACACAGTGAAAAACAATATCACATTTACTGGATGATGTTTCGAACACAATTTATTGTTCACATTCACATTATTAGTAACTATGCAACCTGGATAGTTTTGTCTTATGGTTTCTGTACCTAGGGGCCTTTTGCTAAATAAGCTATCGTTGACACAAACAGGATCCTGGGCTAAGAGTTGGTTGCATTCCTATTTTTCTGATAGAATGCAGTATACTGTATATAACGGCAAATCTTCTTCTACCTCGCTTACAAAATCCGGTGTTCCACAAGGTGCTGTCCTCTCTCCTTTTCTTTTTTCTTTCTTCCTACATGACCTGCCTCATTCAAAGGAAACTAACTTTGTCAAATATGCAGATGATCTGACTGTATCACTGCCTATCACTTCCGAGTCTGACAGCTCCAAACTTAATAGCTTTCTGTTGGACATCAACAACTGGTCCAAGTCAAATGGTCTTATATTAAATCCTTCCAAATGTCAGGCACTTGACTTTACTTTCAAGCATCGACGTGACTTACTTGAACTAGTTAACTCGCATGATCCCTGTAGCATAGATGGCACGGAAATTGAAACCAAATCAAGCATTAAATACCTTGGATTAGTTCTTTCCTCTGACCTTTCATGGTCATCATACATCTTATCTATCTTTAAGAAAATGTTTCGTCTTACCTTCTACATTAAAAAGTTAAGACAATCAGATATCAACCAACCTTTAGTTTTGTAATTTTTAAACTCCTGTGTTTTATCTATTGTACTCTATTGCTCTCCATTAATCTTTCCTGGGCTTCTCAAAAAAGATTATATCATATTACGAAGAGTATTAAATGCTGTGAGTAGAGCTTGTAGTCTGCCACTGCATGAGCTCTCTAATACTATAGTCGAGAGGCATATAAATTCCTGTACGAAATGGGCAAAGGCTATACTGTCAGACCCTCTGCGCCCCCTTTATTCACACCTGTCCCCTTGTATCTCATCAGGTAGGACGAGAAGTCAATATAAAAAGATATATGCTCGTACTACTAAGTTTAGAAATTCTACAATACCCTCTTTAGCCCGTACTTTATGTGACGAAGACTCTGTTAGACGTGAAACTTACAAGTTACTATGTAATTAGTACAGTGAATCGACCCTTTCATTGTTCATTTTTCTGTATTATATGGTGTCACACTTTCTATCGTTTAATTATTACTCTGCTATTTTATTTTAGTTGGTATTACTATTATTTCTACAATTTTGTACTTTATGCATATTTTTCTCCATATGGCATACAGTATGTTGCTATGTAGCTGCCATAACAATCGTTTTATTACTGTTGTGTAATGTGTATTTTTAAATTTTTTTATTGTTGTCGTTTTTGAGTAAACTAGATGCAATATTGTACTGAATGCTGAAAATTCCTTGCTGTATCATGAGTACTGTTTTTGGAATAAAGCAAATTATTATTATTATTATTTATGTAGCTACAACTGAATGATTTTGAATAATGAATTATGTTCGAAACGCCATCCAGTTTACAATACTGCTTCACTGTGTGATATATATCTTATAAACAATTTAATATGGAATTACACACTGCCGGTGCCCAAGCTTTTCCTATACGTTACAGCTTAATAGTTTATATAAGGCGGAGGAAAAATCGTAATTCTGCTTTAATTTTACTATACACCCATGTAAATATTTTCGGTACTGTAGCAATTTTAGTTTATTATTGGGTTCCGAGTGGAACATAGAGCTTTAAAAGCTTCAGTTTTGAAGTTTCAGTAATGGTGTTGTCTTTTTTAACGGAGTGGGGTTGCTAGCCTCACATGCCAAACTTTCTCTCTTTACCAGGCTTGCTAACCGGCTAAGCGAGGGTTTAGCAGTGCGTTAGCTGGGGATCGAACCCTGGACTGTGCGTGCGTGTGTGTGGCTGGTAAGTATTCTGCAACCACATCAATTAGACACTGTTTACTTCACAAAAAGCACAGGCTTAACATTGACTGGGTGAAAACACAACACAGTTTTATCAGTTAGCTTCTGATAACATCTTAATCAGAGCTGCAGACGTGTTCTAACCTAATGATAATAATGTGACTTGAAGAAGTGGGAGACAGGGAAGCTTGTTTGGAGAACCACAATTTTATCACTCTGGTTATACGTAAATAACTATGGAAAAAACAAAAGATTCCTGAATTTTTACTCTTTCGTAGAAAAGTAGAATTGTTCTACTTTTAAAACAGCGAAATATATACTTAGTTCGTAAAACAGTATCCGAAGGAACTTAACATATTTTTGTGGATGGCAATCATTTGTTCAAGTGTTTACCTTTTAGTTATTGAATATAAATATACACGCTGTAATTACATATATATATATATATATATATATATATATATATATATAATTACAGCTTGCTATATTTGCTCTTTCATTTATCTGTAATAGTGTGTTGGTGGTAGCCAGTGTTTGCTTATAATGTTTATTCAGGTGAGCAAAAGGTTGTATTAAACCAGTGGAATTAGAAATTCTGGTGACTAGCCACCACCACCACTCGAAGGAATACAACATTTCACTGTGTGTTTTCTTCATTCATGAAGGCATAAAGATGAATGTAACTGGTGGATAGCTCAACCTGACAACTACTTTTAAAACTGTGCCAAAAGTAAATAACAAACATGACGATACATTATTTGTCTAGGCGGGGATGTGGCTGACAGGATTAATGATACTACAACAATAATAACGCCCAAAACTCATTAAGCTATGGATAAACTTTACCACACGATTGTATGGACTTTACTGCACACAATAACAGTTGGAGAAATATTATTGAAAATCAAGCAGTACTGGATAGCTG